CGGAGGGTTTAAACTGCAGGTTGCAGGTGTGCAGGTGCAGGTTGCAGGTGTGCAGGTTGCAGGTGCAGGTGTGCAGGTTGCAGGTGTGATATTCTAGTACAAGATCAAAACTTGACATTCATGAAAAAAGTGTGAAGCACGCGTAAAATTTTATCTTAACTAAGTTTGAATTCTCTTTTATAATTGATTTTGTCACTCTTTGCGAGAAACGTCCGCCATATTTAATTCTTATCTCAAAAACACCTGATATCCCATATTATCAATAGTTTTCCCCATACCGCCAAAACATGTGATCACAGAGTAGGTACTATGTAACTACTATGTACCTACTATGTTCCTACTATGTACCTACTATTTTCCTACTATGTTCCTACTATGTTCCTACTATGTACCTACTATGTACCTACTATGTACCTACTATGTACCTACTGTATATCAGTGGTACCTACTCTGTGATCACATGTTTTGGCGGTATGGGGGAAAACTATTGATAATATGGGATATCAGGTGTTTTTGAGCTAAGAATTAAATATGGCGGACGTTTCTCGCAAAGAGTGACAAAATCAATTATTAAAGAGAATTCAAACTTAGCTAAGATAAAATATTATGCGTGCTTCACTTTTTCATGAATGTCAAGTTTTGATCTTGTACTAGAATATCACACCTGCACACCTGCAACCTGCACACCTGCAACCTGCACCCATTGATCTGCACACCTGCAACCTGCACCTGCACACCTGCAACCTGCAGTTTAAACCCTCCGCCTGTCAATGCTTAGGAAACAGAGCTATACATTCAAGCAATTGCCAGTTGCATCAGATCTAAAAATATAACCAAAGATTATATTATTATTATCTTTATAACGTACATTTGCAGAGCTATTATCAGTCAATCAATACTCTATAAAGCATGTACACAATAAATGCTTTTTATCCAACATGATCAAATATTTGAGATCAAATTCTGCCACTACTCAGCCACTTTAGGTGTTTTAATTTTATACACATAATGAATATGTATGCAATATATAAAACTTTGGACCTAACCTCGCACAATTATGCAAATCGTACGTTCCACTCAACGATTTATTGTTCAAAATTCAAACCACTTTACCTGCCATAGCCAAGACAATTTTCTTGCATCCATCGAATTTATCTGCTTGAAATATTCTCCACAGAACACCAGTAAGCATTCCTTATCGTCACTTTCAAATAACGATCTAACCTTTTCGAAATCTACGTCGTTCATTTCGATAATAGTAAATAAATACAAACAAAATAATTTGCTTGTAAAATTGTACAGAACTGCAACAAAGCTACCAAGTGCACAATGCTTCCAAATTGAAGATTAGAAGGCCAATCAGAGCAGATGTTCTAAAACTCTTTTGCGCAAATTGTCCAATCAGAAGCTGCTATCTATTTGCAGAATTAGTCAAAATAGTCAAAATTTCGCAATCGTTAGTCAAAATAGGTCTGACCAATCAACATGCTTGTAATGTGTAATCTGAGCAAATTTGACCAATCAAATCACATGAACTAAAACGCAGAATAGTCAATTTTCATTTGAATACCGCTTATTTGACTTATCGTTTGACTAATCAATCGCTGGCTCAATGTGCAAAGCTGATCGAAGTTTATATGCTGGAGTGTGATAGAGTTTTGATTGCGTGATCAGAAATGAAGAGAAGTGTTTGCGCTGGGAAAAAATTCAAAAACCTTAGTCCAAATTTTTTTATATGCCTTTTTTTTTACGTTAGTCGCGTGACTAATCTGACTACCCCTAGATCCGCCCCTGTGTTTTGCTATTGTTATATTACACAGCAACCACCCTGATAATAGCCTTCCTATATATTAACTGTAAGCTGTGACAAGTTTACAACAATGAAACAGAATACATTTGGTAAGCTTTAGATTAACTCATTGTCTGCACTCTCCCACTGAAGAGTAAAATTGTCTGATGTTAGACAGAGTAAAAGCAGGCACGCCCCTGCCAGGGATGAGACAAAGAGGGCTTGTTGTGTGTATAGGGGCATTATTGGGTCTTACGTGATATACATGCCAATCAAGAGTTACTATATTTTAAAGCAATATATGTCAAGAGCAATTTTATTTGAGCATGGACAAGGAAGATACATATAATTAGAGAATATGCCAGTGCCATAGCAAGCTCGATAATTGGGGGGGGGGGGCTCATATTCATATATTCGTGTTCACAGACCATAAAAACAATCGATTTCAAAAGAAATTAATAACGCAGAACACGAGTATATGAATATGAGCCCCCCCCCCATTATCGAGCTTGCTACGGCACTATATGCAGACACACAAATTCCTGTATTTATCAAATCATGGATGTCAGTAAGTGTAACACAAGTAGGCATATACAGTACTATATTAGAAAGAGGTTGTCACATGCCAACTGCTTTTCACCACAGGGTTGGTAGGTTAGATGAATAATTAGGCAGAAAACAAAAGGCCTAGTGTGACTGTGTTTGGCCTAATTATTCAGCAAACCTACCAACCCTGTTTCACCAGGTTTAGCATATTTACATGATATTAACTCTTAATTTTCTCAAAAAAATTTTCTTCTTAAAAAAATTTATTTCGATGAGTACAGTTGCGAAATTTATCACTCTTTTGCCCTGTCAAGTTATTTTTTATTTTATGTAACTATTTCGGCCAAAATTTGCGATAATATAGACGTTGGTGTAATTTTCGTGCATAGTTACCATTTGTTTTTAATTATTTACTTTGGTTGCTATGGGGTTTTTCGTCTCCGATTTTGTAGTAAAATTTCGAACCCCCCTCTTCTAGGACAAGAAAACCCCCCCCCTTTTCAATGAACATTGAATCATGCTCGTCCCATGCCCCCGAAAGCAATTATGACGCGGTTTGTTGTGAATACATGTGACAGAGTGCGAAATCGCGAAGGTAAACATCTAGTTCGGTCAATTTGAAAAGCTTTTATTACATTATTGAGAAGTCTAAATGGCTGAAAAAAATACTACGAAGTTTAGATCGATCAGAAGAAGAAAACGAAAAGGTTTTTGTGGGCTGAGAACCGACGAAATAGGCGAAAGATCGAGCGAAAGTGCGAGTGGTTTTGCTGATGGCCGACATCCGTCTACCAGCGTGTCAAATGTTGCCGAGGTTTTGGAAGCAAACAGTCAAGTTTTGCCTCAATCTAAGGTAAATATATCGCAGAAAAAGCTGCTCAATTCGTCTTTTGAAAAGCTTGAGTCTGACCAAGCAGTATTAACGCGCACAAAAACCAAAACTCTCGGCCTTGGGTCTACATGTCACACTGAGAGTGCATCTGGGTTCAAGTTGCAAGATGCATCTCTGCTAAAAGAATGTATCTCTAGTGCAGCAATTTGTAGTGCTTGTAGAGATCCCAAATCCAAACTACAACTCTTTCAAAACAACAGGTTGAGAGAGGGCCTTGCAGAACACTTATACTTAGAGTGTTCAATATGTGAGGCAAAGACCCCTCTCTTGACCAGCAAGCGTTTGGGTGGTAGGGGAGGTGGAGCCCGGGAAGTGAATCGTAGAGCAGTTCTAGCAGCTCCTCAATTGGGTCATGCCGGACTCACTCAATTTTGTGCTGGAATGAATTTGCCACCTCCTGTAACAAAGAAAGCTTATAATGACCACCAAATACAAATAAAAACCATTGCGGTAGACAATGCTGAAACGTTGATGAAGGATGCGGCAAAGCGACTGGTTGACAAGGTCGCAATGGAAAGCCCGGATGACATTGAAGATGATGGAACTACTGTTGTCGCAAATGTGTCGGTTACAATTGATGGAACATGGCAAAAAAGAGGACATTCATCAAAAATTGGTGTTACATTTGTTATATCTGTAGACACTGGTGAGGTCCTAGATTACTGCGTCAAGTCCCTGTTTTGTCATGAGTGTAAAGCCCATGGAAACATGAATTCTGAAAGTGAAGAATACCAGTCTTGGAAAGAATGCCATGAACCAGTTTGCCAAATCAACCATGTAGGTTCATCAGAAGAAATGGAAGCTGCTTCAGCCACTGAAATGTTTGGGAGGAGTATCGATGAACGTAACTTAAAATATACTACATTCGTCGGTGAT